GTACATCAAAACGAGGATGTCCAATTTAAGACACTTTGCGTATTCTATGCCCAGCGAAGCGCTCCAAAGCGGCAGAAGATCTCACAGAAACATGATGTGCTGTTTAAGGTTTTGACTCATTTTTCTGTTTTGTTGGCAGCGGAACAATGGGAAAATATCAAGAAGCGATGATAGAAAAAAGGTTAACAAGTGATGCATGAGACATGAGCCTGTTGTTGCCCTTGGTGACAAAAAAAAGCTTGTGCTTTCAAAAGTGCAACAACTGCACTTCCACAACATCCACATCTTGATGGGAAACTTTCATTGACTCTGAAGAGTTGATGTGATCATTTTCAGCATTCCGTGTTTCTTTCAAAGACATCCAAAGCATCAACACACACATGCTCCATAAATTAACTTGGTCGGGTGGTTTCAGGGTCAAAAGGCACTCGTACATCTGGATCTCTGGACCTTCACATTCACCCCTGTGTGGGAGACGGCTAGTAGTACTTTCATAATAGTAATTTATTTTTCCTTATCTTTTCCTGTTTAAGATATTGATGACCTGATTTCTGAGAGCTTTTTATTAAGTGTGACATAAACTAAACCACATAGACTATGGGAGTCAGGGATTGTGCAATCATTTGTTACCCGTTAACAGCTTGATAATCTCAAAGGTCTACGACAGCGTTATCAATGCATCTGCTTGGTTTCATTATCGTTATTATACAAGATCTACTTTGCTCCGTGGATTCCTTCTCATTAATAGAAGTTATCAATCAAAGCTTCCACATCATTTGATGACAAAGCGTCGTTATGAAGAGTGGCGATGAATTGATGATGTGTTCGCCCATGCAAGCAGATTGCTGCTCATAAGAAGTTACGAGGTTCTAAGTAAAGGAGCCCAGTTTCACTCGTTACCTCCAATGGTTTTCCATGACTTTTATTTACAGCCCACAGGGAGCGCTTCCTATTTATTTCAGCCATAAGCACAGCGATCGTCGGAGTAGTGCAGGGAGGATCAGAGGGCGTGTGCATGCAGTATATGTTTATTGTAGGTATTTCGGAGCACAGCTGAAGTTAATTGTTGATGTTAAACATGGAGTACTCCGCCATGTTTCAGTGTTTCCAGGACAAGCTTGTGCGGTGACGTTTCGCCATCACTTTTTATTTACGGCCGTTGGAAAAGAAGAGTCCATGAAGATGTCAGAGCTGCTTTGAATGAAACGCAACGCTGACACTAAACTCTGGTACATCCAGGACCTCCTCATAACTCTCTTTTATTGGCCACACTGTTACCTTTTCCCATGAGAACCCTAAACACGCTCATCAAACAGAGAGCAGAGAGGAACAGCGAGGGGAAGGCAGCCAAATGAAGACATCCAGGAACCGAAAAAAGGGGAGGGCCAGCAATATACGTTGATACATTTTCTGTTTGCGTTAATCTTGCTGAGACGTTGGAGGTTTATGGATCCGGAGGAGAAATATTACAAAGTGCTTGAGGTTTAGAAGATCAGAGGACACAAATTTACATTCTGCGTGTATTTAAAAGGTGAAGAGAGGCCCATTAGGTCTCTTGGTGCTTATTTTGTGGCATTGACCATAGTTGCAAAATATCTCTATCTCACTAAATGATTTTTATTGTGTCCTTTGTAGTTGTATTTTATCAAAACAAAACGGAAAAATCTGCCACTGTAGTAAAATGTTAGCGTAGCAGTCCGCTTTATTCTGTCTTCTTACTGACAGTCAAGTATTTCTTAAAACATGTTACACAAATTGTCTTTGTTGGATGGAGAATATGCACTGTAAGCATATATGTTTTCTTCCAAATAACACGTATCCAAAGCTAGAATTGAAAATATAAATGTATCATACTCTTTTAAAAGGAATGTGTAATTTGCATCCCCCAACTACGCCACGTACCTAACAGTGGCAGAGTAACAGAACGGCCAAGAGTGATGCACGATGTGTAGCGTTGACCTTAGCGTTAACAAAGCTTCCTGACTTGGGTCAACAGCCAGAGGTCAAACCAGAGGTGGCGGACCTGTGTAATTACCCTGGACACGGCAAACGTGCACAAGGATCAATGCTAATCACACGACCTTCTGACTGGATGTCCAGATTTGGACTCGGAGCGCCTTTTATTTTGAAGGCCCTATGGGATGGATGAAATGGCATCACATGAGCAGGAATACACAAACGGGGACACGCACCAGTGAGCACACGTTCACAAAACGGGGCCTAAACAGTGAATGATGTGCTGCCCTGAGCTTTGGCCAGATGATTAGAAAGGCTCAGCTGTGGAGGAGAGCCTCGACCCCGGAGCTGAAGCTAAAACTTCATCACCTCTGACACCATCTAATGACACTCATTTGCAATCTGACCTCCTGAACATTACCAGACTACTAGACCATGACAACGACACTAACAACTGCCCCCTCGCCAGCGTTCAATGTAGTGTTTTCTCAAGAAAGTAGTCCATTTTTGACAATTAAGATCATCTATAGAACTATCAACCACAGTTGTGCAACGCCTGAGTTTGCTGCATTCGTTAAATAACACTATGATAAAAATATAGTACGTTATATGTAGAGGATTTTTGCATTTATTTTTGATTGAAAAAAGCCATGTGGGTTTAAGGAGCACATAAGGGCCAGAAAACTACCTTAGCTCTCAGGCAGTTATTTTGTTTCTCTGGCTCTTAAACAACCTACAACGTATAAACCATTAATGTTACAGTCTGTAACATATACATAATATGCATATACATATCATGCAAAAACACTGTAAATGATATATATATATATATATATATATATAATAAATCAATTACCCTAACCTTGTTTGCCGTTAGGGGGGGAGAATCTAATCCGGTTCTGTTTGGTTTAGTTTGAAAGGTACCATTTATCCTCTGCGGAGCAGAAAAGTGGCACATGAGCATGCAAGCGTGTGCGTGGATGCAAATACATATAATTAATGATACAACATAACTCCTTAACATGACTCCTTATTTGATTTGTTGTTTCAGTACTGCCAAACCTCCCCATTAAATCTCCAAATTTCCGCTCATCTTATTTTAATCCGAACCATGTTAAACATCTGGACATGGAGTATCCACAGAATATACAAATAAAGACAAAATCTAACCTGAAAAATTCGGCCTTCATGCCCAAATTTTCATTTTTAAAATTTTCCCAGTCTTTATTCTTACCTACATCCCACCACAATCAAGTGGCAAGAGCTGTTGAAAGTGATGGATGGCGCTTCTAATTCCATGACATGATGCCATTACAGCTAGTGACACGTTGCACCCTAATGGTCGAGCTCTTTATGTGCACGTGTGTGCACATGTGCGTGAGTGTGTCAGAGAGCACTGCAGGCAATGGGAGGGAGGAACAGACGCTAATTGAAATTCCTTCAACCATGTCTGGCAGAGCCTTGGTGTCTGAGTGGCACCCACACACACACACACACACACACACACACACACACACACACACACACACACACATATATATTCACGCTGGCCCTGGCCCTAATAAAAGTGGGCTTTGCCATATGGAGGCCATGTGCAAGACTGGCCTCTCTGTGCTCAAGTGTATGTGCTCGTAGCAGGAGAGGCTTGGACAGCAGCACGGACCCACAGGCCGATGCATACAAACCTATGAAGCTGTGCCAGTGATTAAGATCCATTTATGCAGATTATTACAGTCTCACCCACAATTCCAAACACACACACACACACACACACACAGTAGACGCAATGCATCATGAACCGTTTGTTCAACCATGAAGAAATCAACTTGTGTTTTGGACGTCTCCTATTTAATTCAATGAGCTGAGCGGGAAACTGTGGCCAGATAAATGTTGGAGTAATGTTCTGTTTCCCTTAACAACTGCTGTCAATGCGCCCTGAGGCCGTGCAGCCTTTCTGAGTTGCGCAGCTAACAGAAGACTGCGGCACCGCTCGGGAAATTCCAGATGCGTTTGACTAAAAGATGAAGTTGTGGACGACAGAATAATAACAGCTGATTTTCTCTTCTCTGTCCTAAATTACTACGATGGCCCTTACTCCCTTATAAGTCATTAAAAATATTCATATTTGCTATTGTAGTTAATATGTTTTTTAACAAACTGAAAACAAAGTAAAAGCTTTTACTTTAATTGTTATTCTTGTATTGTAATGATTGATTAATAAAACCTTTTATCTGCCTTCCTACTAACTTACAAGGAATTTTGTATTCATCATGCAGTCGTACTCTATAAGGCAAAGTCCTCGCGAGGTGAAATAAAGGCACTAGTTGAGTGCTGGGAGTCTCCTCGGTGTGAAAGAGAAGAACTTTAACTGGGAATTTGAGACTAGGTGATGCTGACAAAAGAGCAAGTGTGCTCAGTGACCCTTCTCAGGATACACAAAGGTTCAAATCATATTTCACAGCCCTCAAAATGTAAAACCATCAAAAGGAACAGAAATTGCATGGTTAATACTTTACGTCTGAGTCCATATAACCTCATACTTAACAAATGCCCACCACCACAATGGCAGCGGGGAGTACTTGTCATTCTCCCCAGGGGCTTGGTAATGGCTGTGTTTTAAATATTTCCTCAAAGGAAAAAAACTTTCTGGGCGGTTTCTAATTTGTTCCAGTGGATCTTCTCTCTTTTCTTTCATCTTCCTTGCTTACTCAGTTGTTTTTTTCCCTTTCCCGCTCTCATTCTCTCCCTCTCCTTTCCTCTCTGGCCTCTATATGGTAGAAAGGCTGAAAAGCACGCGGCTCCGCTATTCGAGTCCACCTGTCTTAATGTCTGCAGTTGCCCTGGGAGGAAAACCAGAAACGTTGCTCTTCCCAGATAAAAACAAGATGCAGTGGGTGAAAACCAGTCCATCATTTGGCCATGGAAACGTCAACGGCAAACATCCAACCGTGCACTTTTAGCTCTTTTAAGTCTAACGTTGCTGTTTCCATGCTTAGACTAAGAACAGCTAAAACACATTTTGAAGGGAAGCAAAGTGGACTTACTGTATGGATCATCCTCAGTTTTGGTGCCATTAACTTTTCCTTTCTTATCGATGCGAAGGAAGAATTTCTGGAAGGAGAACAGTTTCCTCCTGCGCACGTCCCCTTGCAGATGGTTGTAGCTGCTCCGCACGTGGCGCCCGACCACGGTGGCAGAGGACGACGACGACACGTTGGTCGCCCTCGGCGACCTCGCAGAGGATGCGTGCGGCGGCGCGGGCGACGAGGGGGTTGGCCGGCGCGAGATGAAGGCGTGAGGGGGCGTCCCTCGGGGTCCATCGTGGTTCTTCTCAGAGTCCGGCGATGAGGTGGACAGGGGCGCCGACGCGGAGGGCTCGAGCAGGAGGAGCAGGGCGAGGAAGACGAGGGAGAGGAGGAGTGAAGGGGGCCTGTAGCAGGGGCAGGCGGAGGACCAGGCGACCGGTGCACCTTGTGTCACTGTCCATCTACACATGGTAGTGGAGCTGGGAGAGCTGTGGAGGTGCTCAGGGGCTGGGGCATGCTGAGCAGGGTGCAGGGAGAGGGAGCGAGAGCGGGAGGAACTCCCCCTTACTGACCCACTGCACCTCCTCTCTTTGGGGGCCCACGACCTCGCTGGGGCTGAAGGTGTCAGAATGGCCGGCCGCGGTGAACGCGATGTGGCGTTGTCAGTAATGATGATGGTGCTGCAGCTGCTTGTGGTGGTGAACCCTGCGGTGTTGCGGCTGACTCGGCCGCGGTCTGCGGTGCCGCTTGTTCCTCAGCGGCGCCGCAGGAATGCGTCAACGTCCATAACTCAGATCACCTCGCGGCTGGGGGGTGGGCGGGGGGGGGGGTTCGCCCCAGAGAGCGCTCACCGCCGCCTCCCAAAGACTGCTGCTTTTTGTCCCGGGTTGCTCTCCCACACACACACACACACACACACACACACACACACACACACACAAACACACACTCAAAATCCTTTTCAATGGACACTTTCAAGTCTCACATCCAAATACGAAAAGGCCCAATTAATGTATATAAACCTCTAAAATCCCAAACCACTTTTTTGCTCCAGTCTATATATTAGGAAGGCAGATGAGGTCTGGATAGAAGATGCCAAATTGGTCAGAAGAAATTGAACAGAAGTAAAAAAGAAAAAAAAAGAAATAGAAAAATCAAGGATTAATGCTGCTTCTCATTAAATGTCCCACGAAATCCACGCGAGGCGGGCCACATCAAAAAGAGTCACAGAATCCAGACTCTGTTCCTTCCTCCTTTTCTTTCCTCTTTGTTTCTCTGGAACAGTCAAAGCGGGTCTGAAGTTACTTGAGTGTGTAACTGATCCCGGCAGCTCTCGTCTTTCTCCCCTTCTCTTGTTGTGCGTCTTGTCAGTGAGCTGAGCTCTCTATCCCTCCTCTGTGCTCCTGGAGTCTGAGCACTGGAGCAGTGTGGTGCCTCTCTTCTTTCCTCCTGTGTGTGCCTCTCTCTCTCTCTCTCTCCCTCTGCTTTGGCCCCCTCCCTCTTTCCTCGGCCTCTCCTCTCTCCTATCAGCGGTGCGCTCTCTGCTTATCTGGAGTTTCTCTGAGGTGGCTGAATCTTGTCTTTCCTTTCACCTTATTTATTGGCTGCCGGTCACCAGATGTTATCTCTTAGTGTAATTGGATGTCTATGAAAACCACTTGGCTTTGAAGAGCTGTGTGTGTGTGTGTGTGTGTGCATGTTTGTCTGCACACATACATGTGTGTGTGTGTGGGGGGGGTCTGTACCGTTTTCTCTCTTCCCCCCCCCCCACCCCCCTCTCCTCCCCTTAACAGACTAAACCCCAACCGTTTAACCGAGTCCAAAGAAAACCATTCTTCATATCGCTGTGCTTTCGCAGTGCTCTTGATCGATGCTTCAATCAGGTCCGTCCTCCTGATTAGTATTGTTAGTTTTGGTTCAGCGCTGATGCCGATAAGGTATTTATTCTGGTAGTTGGAAAACCAAAATAGCACTCGCAAATTTGAGAAAAATAAGCACGTTTCTCTACAAAGCACTTCATATGAAGCCAGCTATAACTATGTATCACAAGAATGTTTCCTAAACACAATAGTGTGAGAATGGCAGAGTTCATTTGAAGATTCTGAACGTCAGCATCTATGCAATGCAGCTATGTTTTTTTTTATTTTATTCTCTAGGCCGAGCTGGGAACTTTTTTTAGTCGATATAAAACATCATTGAACTTCATTATAACATACATAACTGTGTACATGTGCAACAATAAAAGGGAATTTAATATTCCTCAGTTCACATTAATACCCGACAGCGTTAAGTAAATAAATGACAGTAGTTCAAAGTTCACCGATGCATAAGAGCTGAAGTGTACGATTAGTTCAGACATCAGCTGATTGGCGCCAGCTGCTTTATTCCAGCTTCACAATCCCCCGGCCCGTTCTCAGCTCTGCGGCTACCAGCCGGCATGTACGTATATCCCAAAATGTTCTCGCAGGTGTGCGGCTATTATTAACTTGACACCTCACACTATTACTCCCCCGCACCACTGCAACCTTCATTCAGCAGATTCCGTGAAGCTCCGTCGAAGGGCAGAGCCTCGATTACGTTTCGTTCCCCACGGGTCAGTAAAGCGACCTGACGTGGTGTTTGTGATGATGTCAAAAAGCCCCCAACTCTCCGTGACCCACGGTGGCCTTTGACTGGGGATTTCCAAAAAATGTCCTGTATGTGATAATGCGTAGATGCCGTGACGTCTCAACTTGGATCTTAATTTTGAAAGTAAATATCGCCCTTTGTTTGGATAAGAGAGAGTTGTATCTCATGTGTGTTGCTGTGTTTTGCCTTTCAAGAATCCAGGTCTGCTGTCTGGTTTCAGTATTGTTTAATTTCCTTTTCACATTGTCAGACAACAGTCATATTTCCACCTTTCCACCTGCTTTCTCTTCTGTGCACATACGTTCTCAGTTATTACTGGAAAATCGGACTCCTGTCCGAGGAATGCAACAAATAGGTTTTGGGTTATCGCTCTCCGCTGGTTTCTTCCTTCAATTAAAAATAATATTAAACGCTATCAATTTGTCACATACACCTGCGGACAAAGTTCAGCACCACGGACAGCACTTTACGACGTGGATCATCATGTTGGATGTAATTGAACGTCTCGTTAATTGTTCTTGGCTCTTATTCGGGGGGGAATGACTGTTCTCGAAGTGGATTTACTGAGGCGGATGTGTTCTTGATTATTGCGGAAGAAGAAAATAGCAAAGTGTTTTTATTCTGTGACACTGGTAGAAAAGCCACCACCGTGCTTGGGTGTGTACAATAGAGAAAAACTACTGCGGCGCTTCTAGCTTGTACTTTGTAATACTGCAAATGTTACTAGTAGGTGCTGCTTTCTTTAGGAGGCCAATGGTAATATATAAGGACTCAACTGGCATTCATTTAAATGAAAATATTTAAGATTGAAAAGTCTTTGGCAACCTACATTTTTTGGGGGGGGGGGGGGGGTTCTGGGAAATATACATTTCTACACCTGCAACAGGTGTTGATTTTATTAATGTCCTCGCTGACCACAGAAGTGCATAACCGCTTATAAAGGCAAAACTATTTCTAAATGAATGGGAACTTGTGAAGCATTAAAAGGGAAACAAAGCAGTGAGAAACAGACAGAGATAAAGTGAAAGTTTCTCAGTTTGTCGTTGGCTTTGCTCGTACACTCAAAACACGCATGTATAAATGGTCAAACACAAAAACACATGGTACGTGTCTGAGCCATCTTTTACTGATTTGAAACGTTCAAAACTGTTGACAACTGTTGGGCTCCACTAGTGAGCAAGAATCGCTAATGAACTAATTGTCATCTGCCGATCATTTACTGACTGAACTCTTCGTTGCCTCGCCCCGCAGTCATGTTGTTCCATGTAACAGTCCTAACAAGACTCAGATGTTGGAAGTCAGTCGTCCGCGAGGGACAGAGATCTTTCGTCACACCAGAAAACAATTTGTTGGATGCAGTGAAGCGCCGGATATTCGTCTTTTTCCCCCTGAACGTTAGAAAAAGGCTGACGGGGCTTCCCTCTCTGGGAAGGATGGTAATTCAAATGCTGTTTGCTTGAAAATAGATTAAACGGCAAAACGGATTGTTTTCTTACAATTGTTTCTTTCCTCGTGTACATATATATATTGCATAATAGAATTACTATCATTTCAATGCCACTAACGGGTCATAGGTAGTTTTAAGTCTCATTTAATTGCACAACGAAAAAGCAATACCTCTTAAAGCTTTTTCCCTACATAGGAAAGAAATTAGTTAATCTCATTGGGATATTCCCCCTAAACTGGAATTGCAATCTAAGAGCAAACTTCAAAGGGAAGCGCTGATCTGGGGTCAGCAGCTAAACCAATGGCAAATAATCGCGTTTGTTCCCCAAAAGCCGCGCAGATTTTAGATCAGCAAATGTGAGCGGATTCCAGCCCAGATGATCTGACACAGTGTCCCCTCTGGCTCCGCTGGTCATGCCTTTGGAAAAGTCTTGATTGCTCATGCCTAGGAGGAGAACGCCATTAGGGACCAGCAGTTCGGCTCAGTGGTTCTAATTGTTCCATTGCGGTTGAGCTGGTGGCTTTGAATGCATTAAAGTCCTCAAACCAACTCTGCAGAAATGTCCCTGGCAGTGAACTTTAATTACAAACACAGTAAAGCACTTACAGACTAAAAGGGGGTCTTGCGATAACGTACAGATGCATTACGGTTACGGTCGAGATGCTGAGCAGGTCATTCTCAGTGAAAGCAAAACGTCAGTGACAATCTTAATAATGCAGCGGCACTTTGAATGTGATCTGTTTTGCACAATCTTATCAATTTAATGTCATGTTCTGAGATGGATCAACGTAGTCCTTTTTAAAGCTGTGCGTTGTTGTCCCTCAAGTTTTTTGTTTAATTAGAATGTACCACATGCACTTGAATTGGAAACAATCAGCGTGTTAACTGCATCAATAAGAGGAACACGAGTAAACACCTCTCTCCAACCGCCTCAGAAGGTTTGCCAGACTCCTGAACGAAAAGACACAACCTTCATATTCGCCTAAACAAAGATGTTCTGAGACGCCGAATTAAAACAATGAGACTGGTGCTTTGGTTTAAGGGTTTTTTCGTGATTGAGACACCGCTGTAATTCTGATGGTGATTAAAAAAAGTAGAGCAGGTTCTAATTATGAACATGTCTCTCCCAAAGCTACAAATGACACATAAAGGCAGCACCGTTGTCATGCAGAACACATTAGAGACTTGACTCTCTGGTTTCTGTCATTCACGGGTCCCTTTTATTGCTTAGAAATCATCCAACAGAAAATGAGCCACATGTGATTATTTTCTTCTCTTACAGGGTTGATCCAGTGGTGCTCTGATTAAGATAGCAAAATTGTTGAAATGGACTGAATCTTATCCATCTGATATACGTGTGTGTGTGTGTGTGTGTGTGTGTGTGTGTGTGTGTGTGTGTGTGTGTGTGTGTGTGTGTGTGTGTGTGTGTGTGTCAGAGGACTAAAGGGTCATTACCAATGACACAACCGTCCCCTATTCCACAGTGAGAAGGAATAGTTTGTTTCTCTGGGCTAAAAAACTGATAACGCAGCCAATTGTACATTTATAGTAAAGTGCTGCCATATTTAGTTTTTTAGACACCCCCTGACATCTGCCTTACAGATACAACACAAACAGTACTGAGGCCATAATGAGCTATTTGGTCAAACCAGTGTGTGCAGCAGGTGTTGATTTCATT